GACTGTGGGGGCCATTTTAGTACAGTGAACTCATTGTCATGTTCAAAATGGTGCATTATCCTGCTGGAAGTAGCCATCAGAGGATGGGTACATGGTGGCCATAAAGGGATGGACATGGTCAGAAACAATGCTCAGGTAGGCCGTGGCATTTAAACGATGCCCAATTGGCACTAATGGGCCTAAAGTGTGCCAAGAAAACATCCCCCACACCATTACACCACCACCACCAGCCTGCACAGTGGTAACAAGGCATGATGGATCCATGTTCTCATTCTGTTTACGCCAAATTCTGACTCTACCATCTGAATGTCTCAACAAAAATCGAGACTCATCAGACCAGGCAACATTTTTCCAGTCTTCAACTGTCCAATTTTGGTGAGCTCTTGCAAATTGTAGCCTCTTTTTCCTATTTGTAGTGGAGATGAGTGGTACCCGGTGGGGTCTTCTGCTGTTGTAGCCCATCTGCCTCAAGGTTGTGCGTGTTGTGGCTTCACAAATGCTTTGCTACATACCTCGGTTGTAACGAGTGGTCATTTCAGTCAAAGTTGCTCTTCTATCAGCTTGAATCAGTCGGCCCATTCTCCTCTGACCTCTAGCACCAACAAGGCATTTTCGCCCACAGGACTGCCGCATACTGTATGTTTTTCCCTTTTCACACCATTCTTTGTAAACCCTAGAAATGGTTGTGCGTGAAAATCCCAGTAACTGAGCAGATTGTGAAATACTCAGACCGGCCCGTCTGGCACCAACAACCATGCCACGCTCAAAATGGCTTAAATCACCTTTCTTTCCCATTCTGACATTCAGTTTGGAGTTCAGGAGATTGTCTTGACCAGGACCACACCCCTAAATGCATTGAAGCAAATGCCATGTGATTGGTTGATTAGATAATTGCATTAATGAGAAATTGAACAGGTGTTCCTAATAATCCTTTAGGTGAGTGTATACCTGCCGCCTTACACTATATCATATTTGAAAGTATTAGAATCTATATTATTTAAAATTACTATATATTCTTAAATATATATTTAAATAATCTATACTACACAAAATATAATTCATTTTATAAATATTTGTTATTATTGATCAAATTGAATTAATTATATTTGTAATATATTTGTCATTTGTAATAGAAATATTCAGTTTTAGTCTTGACTTCTTCTGAAACGGTTACAAATACATTTTGTGGCAGCATCATGGTAATGATTGCATCAGATAGTAATACCATGGCATATGAAATATTATGTCTGAAAAAAAGTATAAAAAGTACCATGGTGCTTTTTGTTACTGTGTAATTACTATCTGTTTTAATTATTACAAAATACTCTTTCTGCAGCAGCCAAATTCATACTTCAAGAGACTATGTTATTCCCAGCTACCAAACAAAAGGTATTTGCTAATTCAATCATTTCTGTTGGGCCAAAATTTTGGGCATTTCAAATGGTTGTATAATTAAATTGGCTCTCTTAAGACAACTGAGACATCAACTATAAACATGTAGACACATGTAGAATGGCACAGTCCTTGATAGTCCTCTTCATGGTTTGCAATAAAAATTGCTTATTTTTTTTAAGTAAATGAAGCTTTCTTTCACTGTCCAAGAATGGAGGATAACCATTCATATATCTGTTTTGAGTTGTGAGCTACTTTAGGGCTTAATTGTAACAATATTACAAGAATACAATAAACCCTTCTAATCATTCACCGTGAGCAATACGTTGGCCACAATATTTTTATGGAGGGTAAAAGTGCAGCGGAGCTGACCCAACAAAGTGCAGACAAAGGCCATTTTCACAGACTGATGCGGAGTGAGATGGACATTGGTTAGCGACATGGCAATGATGCCAAGTGGGTCTCTCCTTTTCTCTTGACCTGCCGTACATGAAAAGCCAATTTTTCAGAAACAAAGAATTTCAAAGTTACCACTGAAGGAAAATGTCAGCATGCTTTCATTTTTACCATGATAAGGCTTCTCTTGTATCTTTAATAATGATGTGCTACCAGTGAGGTTTTTGCACATCTGAGGTTAGAGTGTAACTTAATCTGGATGATATTTTATGGCCACATAAACATTTATGCAGAACGTTTATGTAAGGTTTGATGGCACTTGGTTTATTATTATTCTTCATTGTGGGAAATGTATTTTTTATGGATTCAACATTTTAGCTCAATTAATAACTGTTTTGTGGTCTTTTCTAATGCCTGTTAGACTTGTTTAATTGATATCTCAATAATACTGAATGGCCTCAATGGTCACTGAATGGTCTGTGCTACAAAAATGCACACATTCCCTACATTCTCAGCACTATTATCATTTTTTTTTCTTGTTAATAGTGCAAGCAAAGAGGAGTTCAACAGAGAATGCCTGTTGAGCTTTAGCAATGGGATTGGGCTTTTGAGATAATATTGACCCTAAGCAGAAATTGAATTTGAATAAATCCAACAGCTACGTACATCAAAAGGTAGTTACTCAGTCTCTGCCAACCATGGTTATTATAGTTAACTACAACTAAAACTAAAGCCATACAAAACATTTTGGTTAGCTAAACTAAAATGAATGTAAACTGAAATAAAAACAAACAAACAAACAAACAAAGAAATGAAAAACTTTCAGCTATTTTCAAACAACATTCAGCAACATTTATTTATTTTACGTAGTTTAACTTTATTGAACTAAAACTGAAATATAATTAATGAAAATGATTAGATAAAAAAACTAATAAATATGACAAAAAACAACAAAATTATGAAATTTTTAAATTAAAATTAAAAATATGAAAATAAATAAAATTCAAAATATTGATAAAAACTATAATTGTATCTCAATGATACTAAAAAGGTACTGATTTTTAAGATTAGATTAATATTATATTAATTTGTTGTAATTCTATTTTCTTGCAATAATCTATGGGTGGAGGTTAATATACCATTATCAAATGACCTGCAGCAGTGATCTATCAGAGGAGGCCAAGCTATTTCAGCTGCTAGTTTAGCTAGCAATATTAGGGTATTTAGACTTATAAACATTACAATGTCCACAAGACAACCCTTTGTATTTCGCAAACAATAGTAAGCAGTTTGTTACCATGCACATCCATTATAATATATATTTATCGTTTATCGGCCATGATATGAAGCAAGAAATTATCGGACAGAATTCTCTTCTCTTTTTTTGCAAAGTGAATCATTTCAGCGGTGTAGTACTAAAAATTATATATATATATATATATATATATATATATATATATATATATATATATATATATATATATATATATACATATAAACTCACCGGCCACTTTATTAGGTACACCTGTCCAACTGCTCGTTAACACTTAATTTCTAAGCAGCCAATCACATGGCGGCAACTCAGTGCATTTAGGCATGTAGACATGGTCAAGACAATCTCCTGCAGTTCAAACGGAGCATCAGTATGGGGAAGAAAGTTGATTTGAGTGACTTTGAACGTGGCATGATTGTTGGTGCCAGAAGGGCTGGTCTGAGTATTTCAGAAACTGCTAATCTACTGGGATTTTCACGCACAACCATCTCTAGGGTTTACAGAGAATGGTCCGAAAAAGAAAAAACATCCAGTGAGCGGCAGTTCTGTGGGCGGAAATGCCTTGTTGATGCCAGAGGTCAGAGGAGAATGGCCAGACTGGTTCGAGCTGATAGAAGGGCAACAGTGACTGAAATAACCACTCGTTACAACCGAGGTATGCAGCAAAGCATTTGTGAAGCCACAACACGCACAACCTTGAGGCGGATGGGCTACAACAGCAGAAGACTCCACCGGGTACCACTCATCTCCACTACAAATAGGAAAAAGAGGCTACAATTTGCAAGAGCTCACCAAAATTGAACAGTTGAAGACTGGAAAAATGTTGCCTGGTCTGATGAGTCTCGATTTCTGTTGAGACATTCAGATGTTAGAGTCAGAATTTGGCGTAAACAGAATGAGAACATGGAACCATCATGCCTTGTTACCACTGTGCAGGCTGGTGGTGGTGGTGTAATGGTGTGGGGGATGTTTTCCTGGCACACTTTAGGCCCCTTAGTGCCAATTGGGCATCGTTTAAATGCCACGGCCTACCTGAGCATTGTTTCTGACCATGTCCATCCCTTTATGGCCACCATGTACCCATCCTCTGATGGCTACTTCCACCATGTCACAAAGCTCTAATTATTTCAAATTGGTTTCTTGAACATGACAATGAGTTCACTGTACTAAAATGGCCTCCACAGTCACCAGATCTCAACCCAATAGAGCATCTTTGGGATGTGGTGGAACGGGAGATTCGCATCATGGATGTGCAGCCGACAAATCTGCGGCAACTGTGTGATGCCATCATGTCAATATGGACCAAACTCCCTGAGGAATGCTTCCAGCACCTTGTTGAATCTATGCCACGAAGAATTGAGGCAGTTCTGAAGGCAAAAGGGGGTCCAACCCGTTACTAGCATGGGGTACCTAATAAAATGGCCGGTGAGTGTATCTTCATCACAATTTCATGATAGCAGCTATTTGCTATTTTGTAGTCTTATAGTAACACCTAAAGACTAAGGAGAAAAAGTGAAATGACCCTACTTGATGCATAGCTACAACTCATTTAGTCCTAGTTCCTGTGAAACCTTTGTGGGGGTTTAATGTATTGTCTGAGATGCATTATGTTTTAAGGACTAAGGACAGATCAATCGGCTTTCTGGGAGTTGGAAATCACACAGCTGACACAAAAGCCCTGTGTTGCCATGTGCATTGTAAACCAAAAGCTGTAAGGTGCCAGCTCACTGCAGCCACTGGGACAAGTCCCGAAGGTGTTGTTAGGCGATTACCCAATTAAATTAATTGAACTGCACACATTTAAACAAGAGCAATACACTTTTAATCATGCCTCGTATCCTCAATTTTGAGGCTAATTTTTCGTATACAGTCTAAAGTTATTTTCAACTTCCAGCAACCTGAAATGTGGCTCCATATGAAAAAAAAAAATGTTTCTTACCTCAAGATACACCACCCAGGGCATAACTAATGTGGCCACGAGAAGATCTGCCACCGCCAGGCTGACAATGAGGTAATTAGTGGTGGTCTGCAGCGCTTTCTCTCTGGAGACTGCCATACACACCAACACATTGCCGAAGACAATGAGAAAGATGAGGAGAGTCAGGAGCATGGCATAGTAGTTATACTGATGCTTGGCCTCACAGCTTGTGCTGTTGAGGGCCCCAGTTCCGTTGTCATAATAAGTATCATTGTAGGGATACTCCGTGAGGAAATCCATGAGCTGTGGCCAGGGAAGATGCCTGAAACTGAAAGACATAATTTACTGTCAGTGAAGCCACAAACACGGAATGAAACCAAACAGCATTATGTCAACACAAAGGAACATGTTATTGATCAGAGGTTGCTTTATCATATCTCAGTAGAGTTTTTGATTTATGTTTTATTTTAAGCAGAAGTGTGTAATTTCTAGGCCAGAATTTCACTTCACCAAATAAAACAACCATTATGATTATTTTCAAACTGCTTTCCTGAACACCCCTCAAGTCTTCCATTGGTTCGAAAACAGATAGTCCAACTCAAGCCATTGTTTGAGCCAGTGTTGCTGTCTTGAGCTGGTCAGTGTTTTTATACTTTTTTGGGCAAAAGGAGAACTGGCCAGAGGAAAACCCCCAACTGAGCCTGGTTTTTACCCAAGGTTTTTTATCCATTTCTGTCACCTGATGGAGTTTGGGTTCCTTGCCACTGTCGCCTTCGGCTTGCTTAGTTGGGGTTTAAAAGACACTTACAATTCAACAATGTTATACATTTGACTGTACTGACACTGTTAAATGAGAACAAAACTTTAATGATGAGCTGCTTTATAGCTAATTCAACTTTGTTTCATAATTAACTAATTATGCAACATTGACAATGTTACTGAACTAAATTGAATCCACATTGAACTGAATTAAGCTGAATAACGGTTCTATTGTCTTCTAAAAAGCTGCTTATAACTGAATTGAACTAATTTCATAATTGATGAACTTTACACAGTTATTGAACTGAACTGAATCAACACTGAACTGACTTGAGCAGAATAATTACACTATTGTCTTCTGTAAAGCAGCTGTAATGCAGAATTTAATTTGTCTCATATTTGATGAAGTTTTAATCATTGATAATTTCCTGTTTATTACTTTAAAGCTTCTCTGAAACATTCGGTGTTGTATAACGCATTACAGAAATAAAGATGACTTGACTTTACTTGAAAATCAACATACACATAGTTTACTAATACATTTTTATCCACATTAAGTGATGAAGTTATAAGTATTTATTAAATGGAAAAAAATATACAGTATAGGGCTCTAATGTTCATAGCACAGTTCCCTTTTGAAAGGTAACTCACGCTGTGTCCCCTAGGGGTCGCTATGTGGAATGCATTGGGCTTAACTGGTGTCTGAAGTGGAAATCTAAACATGACAATGAACTTGACATTGGCAAGCGGCAGCCTATGATGAAACTACAGAGTATAAAAGGGCACCTGTGCAATACGTCATCCTCTTATTTTCTTCAGGAGACCGTGTGTTTGAACGTGCGATCTGAACAGGCAAGTTTATAATATGGCCAGCACTAGCACTGCGAATTTTAGAATGTGTGTTCATCAGTGTCAGCATTTTCTGACACCTGATGACACACACGATGTGTGCGTTATGTGTATGGGTGAGGAACATGCACGCTCAGTCTTTGAAGAGGCTGTATGCGTACATTGCGAGCGTTCTCCTCTGAGGAAACTTTTCTTGAGGGAATCGGGACAGCCATCTGTGCCCTGCGGTTCAGGACCGAGGCGAACAGGAAACTGAAGTTGTGGGGCTGGCAGATGGAGCTCGCCGATGTGCTTGAGAGGGGTTTGAGTATCTTTCGCTCGTTGGTGGCTGACGAGAGCGAGCTGCGGGATGATGATGTGGTCTCTCTCGCGGCATCTGATTCAGCAGCGAGCGCATTCCTTGCCCCAGGCCAGGCTGTGCAGGGTGAGGCTGATGAGGACGATGATGTTTCCGAGCGCTCTCACCCCGCCTACCCCGCATATGACGAGTTGTTGGACTTTATGTCGCATCGCGGATAGGTTAGATCTGCCGTGGAAACTCGATAAGCGCAACCTCATGCGGCCGCCTCGATGACCGTTTTTTCTCGGGGCATAATCCACCAGCTTGTACGAGTTTTCCTTTTTCCCAGATCTTCACAGTGAGGGTGGAGATCTTGGAAAAAGCCATATCATTAATATTGTCAGGCCTCCGTTCACTATTGAGAGTCATATAGAGAGAGTTATAGAGGCCTCCGGTCCTCAGAGCTCCTCCAGGATAGTGAAATCAGGTAGTAGGCTATGTGAGCCTCCTTGTAAACTGTCATGAGTGTAGGACGTAGTTAGGCCTCCTCTCAATTTTGGGAGTCGTCATGTTGAGGCCCCCGTCCTCAGAGCTCAACCTCAGTAGGACTGAGTAGTTAGGCTCTATCTGAGCCTCCTTGGTTACTACCTTTAGATGCAGAATTAACAGGCCTCCTCTCGCTATAGGGAGTCGAGTTATAGAGGCATCCGCTCCGATATCAAGTAGTTAGGCTCTTTTGACCCTCCTTGGTAGCTTTCCTGGGTGTAGGACACAGTTAGGCCTCCTCTCACTTCAGAGAGTCATTAACCTGAGGCCTCCATTCTCAGAGCTTGATCAGGCAGCAGGGCTGAGTCGTTAGGCACCCTCTGATCCTCCTTGGATACTGCCTCTTTTATGGAGCGTCGCCAGGCCTCCTCTCACTTAGAGAGTTGTTTTATAGAGGCCTCCGCTCCTCAGAGCTCCGCCCGGATAGCGATGTTAAGTAGTTAGGCTCTCTGTGAGCCTCCTTGGTAGCTGTCCTGGGGGTAGGACATAGTTAGCCCTCCTCTCACTTCGGAGAGTCTTTATGCGGAGGCCTCCTTCCTCAGAGATCGACCAGGCAGTAGTACTGAGTAGTTAGGCTATCTCTGAGCCTCTTTGGTTACTGCTTTCAGATGGAGTGTTGTCAGGCTTCCTCTCGCTATAGAGAGTTGAGTTATAGAGGCCTCCGCTCCTCAGAGCTCCACCTGGATAGCTATAGTTAGTAGTTAGGCTTTATGTGACGCTCCTTTGTAGCTGTCCTTGGTGTAGGCCATAGTAGGCACTTTTAGACTGTCCTCAGAGCTCGCCCATTGCATGGCAAGTTGTTAGGCTTTCTTTGAGCCTCCTTGGTTGCCGCGAGTGTTGTTAGGCCTCCTCTCACTGAGAGAGTTGTTTACTGTGGCCTCCGCTCTTCAGAGCTCCGCTAGGATAGCATTGCGAGTGGTAGGCCTCTGTGAGCCTCCTTGCAAGATGTCCTGAGCATTGGGTGTTCCAGGCCTCCTAACGTTTTTAAGAAGAGCACAAATATCTGAGAAGCAAAAGTCTCCAGTTGCTTTCCATTTAATTTCACTCCATTTAATCATCATAGACCGGAGAACGGAGGCCTCAATAGGATGACTCTAAAGAAAGAAAGCCTAACTACATTCATATTCAGGCCAGCATCCAGGGAGGCTCGCATAGAGCCTAACACTCAGAACTTCTGTTCAGACAGCCCTGAAGAGTGGAGGCCACAAACAAGAGGCCTAGCAACGCACTAACCCAAAGGGCAGTACAGAGAAAACTCAGAAAGAGCTAAAACTCATTCTAACTGGCCCGCGAAGCTTCGCAGAGTGGAGGACCCAATGCAGCTACACTCATAATGAGAGGAAGCCTAGCAACACTCCACACTAAGGTCAGTAACCAAAGAGGGTCCCAGAGAGCCTAACAACTTATTATAATACCCTACCGCCTAGCCAAGCTCTAGGAGTGGAGGCCTCAGTATGACAACTCTCTAAATCAAGAGGAGACGTAACTACGCCCCGCACTCAGGTCATCATGCAAGGAGGCTCACAGAGAGCCTACACATCACAAATGCTGTCCTAGCAGAGCTCAAAGGGGCGGAGACCTCAGTAAGATAACTCTCTCCCTCTAGTGAGAGGAGGCCAGCAACCGTCGCAGTAGCCAAGGAGGCTCACAGAGAGCCTAACAACTTAGCAAACTGCCTGGCCGAGCTCTAGGAGTGGAGGCCTCAACATGATGACTCTCTAAATCAAGAGGAGACCTAACTAAGCCCCATGCTCAGGACATCTTGCAAGGATGCTCACAGAGAGCCTACAACTCACAAATGCTGCCTCATGAAGACAACTCTCTCTAGCGAGAGGAGGCCCAACAATGCTCGCAGTAGCCAAGGAGGCTTATAGAGAGCTTAACCACTTAGCTTATGGCTGAGCTCATAGGACGAATACACTACATCCTACCCCTGTCAAGAAAGCTACATAACAGGGATAGCAGCCTGACACAATAGTTGGTGGAGCTCGGAGGAGCAGACGCCTCTATTAGAACAACTCTATATAGCACGAGGAGGCCTAACTATGCTCTAGTTCAAGAGCAGTGACCAAGGAAGCTCACAGAGTGCCTTAGCCCCTAGCTGAGTTCGGAGGGCGGAGGCCTAGCTATATCCAACGTATGTCAGGGAGGCCAAACAAACGAACTAACTACTTGATGACGCTAGAACAGAACTCTGGGGAGCGTAATAGCCTAATAACTCAGACCTGCTATTCAGGTGGTTCTCAATGGAGCGGAGGCTTGAGAAGAATGACTCTCTTTAATGAGAAGAGGCCTAACAACGCTTCCCTACTCTAAAGGCAGTAGCCAAGGAGGCTAACAGAGAGCATAGCAACCTAGAACACTGCCTAGCTAAACACTGAGGATGGATACCTCAGCATGACTACTCTTTAAACCGAGAGGAGGCCCACCAAGGTGGCTTACAGAAAGCCTAACAACTTGATACTGCTGACCAGAGGGAGCTCAGCATCACACAGCTTCTTGCTTACCTAATTTGCCATTCAGTAGAAAATAAAGATCCAAATGGCTGGGTTGGTGCCTTCAATGAGGACACCTCAGCTACTGAGAAATAGTAGGGAGGCATCGACACATTTTCTACCTCACACAATCCTTTCACAATTCCATAATAAAGGATAAGTGTGGGCCGAATATGGATTCTCTTGATGATCAGCCACAGCATGGAGATCAAAAGGAAAAACAGAAGGCTCACAGAAGCGGGATAGTTATGTCCAGACAGACATTGTTTTCCACAATATCTGTCTCATCCTCCAAAGCAGAGCTACACTTTTTCTGTCTGTAATTCTTTAAAATTAGATACATAACATAGAACAATAGTATTATTTGAGTCAACAAGAAGAGCTAAAAAAAGAAAAAAA